CTTGATACGTTTCACTGCTTGTCCTGAAGAAGCTGTTTGGACAAGCAGCGAAATGTATCAAGCCAAAAGAAAAGAAGTCCAGTTGCCATGACTCAACCTCCAGATAATCTTCTGGAAAGCGTGATAGCTTTTGTGCATGGAAGGGAGAGCCATAATTTACTTTCTGCAGAACTTGGAATGAAATAGCTTTCATTCACTGGCATGAGTTTTCAAGTGAAGCCTGTAAAATGATGTAATTTTGCAATCTTTCTAACACCATGTTCTAAATTTTCAGGACAGATCTCACGTGCCCTTTGATGTCAAATTGGCACCCATTTCAAAGAAAACGGGAGTACAAGGTATGCCTTCTTAAGCAGGAAGTGAAGTGATATTTCTCTCACATTACAGGGAGATAAGATATTAGGCTGAAACTTCATGTCCTAAAACAGGATCCTCTCCCCCCACCCCCCAAATTGCTGCTTTCTCTCTTCAGCATAACTTATTGGCTAAAGGGGAGAAAATCAAGCTAGTTGGTACAAGTTATTCACTTGCATAGCTGAAGAGATTACTCTTTCATAGACATTCATTAAAAAATCTCGCACCTGCTTATTTTTACAAACCTCCTTTAATCCATTTTATCTCAAATACCCTTAATTCTACCCTACTCCCCTACATAATACATCCACAAATTGTATCAGTTTCATCAGAACTGATCTGATGAACAGGAGTAATTAGATGTTTGCCCTAAACACATCTTAACTGATGTTTTTCTTAAACATCTTACTGATGATTGGTTTTGTCTAGGACATGCTTGTACATCAGCAAACCTTTTTTTTCTTTTTTTCCCGTCACTTTCAGAAGTGACAAAGGTGAGAAGAAACCTTTTCAATGAAGAAATGTTACCTCTGAGCAAACGTTCCTTACCAAAGATTGCTCGGAGCCAGTCAGTTTCCATTTTAGAAGATCTGAAAGATAAACCCAGATCTAATGAAGACGTTAGAGGTAAGAGAATAATGGATAGAATACGAGGATGCTTGAATAAGCGCCTTGCCAATTGGCACAAGTCTCCCCTATTCCATAAATGACTTTTATTTACAATGACTACATTTGCTGTTCTCTAAGCATCCATTTAAGAGTTCAGCATCTCTGCTTTCTGAGGCAAAGCACTTAAACTAAATATACGTAACACGAGGCCCTAAGGTTCAGAAACACTCCCAAGAACCATTCCCAAAATTGACAGCTAACTGGTTTTTTAATCTGACAGGCAAGGATCATCATTAAAGACCTGTGAACTCATCATTAAAGACATTTACTTAATGACGTTAGACTAGTTCTATCCCAGCAGGCCACTTCACTGTGGCCCCTGTTACTTTTTGTGCTCCTAAAAGTTGGGTGTCCCAAATACAATCTGTAGCAACAGGCTTTGCAACAATGCAGTTGTCAGGGCTGGGAAGTCAATGAGGGCAGGGTCCAGATTAGAAAATTGGCACATTTGGGGGAAAGGAACATGAGGTCTTAGCAAAACTGAGGCAAGTTGATGCTGGTGGTCCAGTTAGATTAAGAGGGAAATCATTGCTAGATTTCCAGGAAGGAGCTTAAATGTCATGGTGGATATAGAAGGCTGCCCAGCATGCATTGCTGATGGTATCTGAAGTATAGAAGACAAGAGAATATAGTCGTGATGGTTGCAGGCCGGGAAGTATTTGTGCGGCTGAGGGATGGGGGAATTCTTGCCATCTTAGGCAAGAGGTTTAATGTGATGGAATGGAATGGAATTATGAAGGCCAAGCTCAGGCAGATAAACATTTTGATTGCTCGCCAGAACCGCATGGGAGGAA